TTTGTGACGCTCACGTCCATGTCACGGCTATAAGCGCGAACTTGCATGATATGTCAAGTATTCCGGCTTCTCTTATCACTGCGAGGGCGACCAAGGTGTTGCAAAACATGCTGATGCGGGGTTTTACGACTGTGAGAGACGTTGGCGGCTGCGACTGGGGACTTGCAAAGGTATGTCTCCAACTTATTCTAGCCATGCATCTCAGAGAAGCTGCATTTGGTTGTCAGGTTCATTCTATGGCCTGTTCATGTTTTTGAAAGAAGATGCTATTGCTCCAGATCTACACGTCTTGATACCAATCATCTTCAAACAGGCAGTGGAAGAAGGAACAATTCTTGGCCCGAGGATCCTTTTTGGTGGCCATGCGCTCTCACAAACAGGAGGTCACGGAGATATGCGACTGGCGGGAGAAGACGACATTTGCTCGTGCTCGGGCTCCTTAGCCCTTGGTCGGGTATGCGATGGCGTCGCTGAAGCTCGTAAAGCTGCTCGAGATGAACTTCGAAAAGGCGCTTATCATATCAAAATCATGGCGTCTGGCGGTGTCTCTTCACCAACTGATCATCTTACTAGTTTGCAGGTAATGCTTCTCTAGTTGGTTTTGCGCACCAAATGACTTTGTTTCACAGTTTTCAGCTGAAGAAATCTCTGCCATTGTAGAAGAGGCTACGCATTGCGGCAAGTACGTATGCGCGCACGCCTACACCGCTACAGCTGTAAAGAGAGCGCTAGAGCTTGGGGTCCGTAGCATAGAGCATGGAAACGTGAGTCCTTTTATCTTGGTTTTGCAACGACTTAAAATCTAACTGGTTTTATGCAGCTCGCTGACACGGAATGCTTAGATTTGATGAAGGTGAAAGGTGCATTTCTAGTACCAACTCTTGTGACATACCATCAAATTCGTCGCCAGGGTGAAGCGTCCGGTATGGCCCCGGAGCTTGTTGCAAAGGTGATAGAAGGATAACTTTTCGTTCTTTCTACTTACTGGGCCTGCAGGTAGGGGACTTGCTAGAGAGAGGACTAGACGTGGTGGCACTAGCAGACCAACGAGGTGTGAATATTTGTTTTGGGACGGACTTGCTTGGTTCGATGCACGACCATCAACTCGAAGAGTTTTCTCTACGATCACGCGTGCAGTCTCCTATAGCGATTCTTAAGTCTGCGACAAGTACCTGTGCGCAGCTCTTCAACATGGATGGCCAGATTGGCTGCGTGGCAGAGGGAGCTTACGCAGATTTGCTGGTGCTAGACAAGAATCCAATAGCAGATATCGGTGTTCTAGCCGATCCCAACAATCTGGTTATGATCCTCAAGCAGGGAGAAACTGTGAAGCTGCCGAAGGGACTGGCGACCAAGATGGTAGATGGCAGACCGTGGACTCAAATTACAAGCTGAGAGCTCGACCAAGTAAGCAAGTGTTTATGATGTTCTTACAGTGTGAATCTGTAGAGGATGACCTTTGAGGGAATTTACTACTCTGAGAAGGTGTTATGTATCATTCATCTAAAGTTGACGGTACGATTCTGCGTTTTTCTTTGCGATCCTTCTAGTACAACCAATATTGACGTTTTGTTGCTATTTGAGAATTATCGCCTTTTGCGCTTGTGGTTCAAGATGCTTCTGCCGCTGTATAAATATTAGCTGCGAGTCTTCATACAACATCATCCTATTGCATTGCAAGTTGTAAGTTGCTCCATGCATTGCTCTTATGCTTTGCTCTCGGTAACAATTTTCTCGGTTTGCAGATCACAAGGAGGGATGACGTCCAACACCAAACCAGTGAGGCTCCCCCACTACTTCACGCTGAAGAATGCCGAAGGGAACTACCTGACACTGAGTGCTGTTTTGAACTACCTCCCTTTCAACTTCTTCTCCTCCAAGGAGAGAACCCGTCTTTCAACATATGAAGCCCTCTACAACTCCAAAGACAACTCGGATTCGACGGTGATGATCCGTGCTCCAAATGGCCGCTATTGGAGGAGATTTTACGACAATTCCTCGCCAGGAACAATTCCGTCAGACCATGAAGAGCCCAAGGATCCAAGCGACAAAACTTATCATTTCCAGATCGTCGAAGCTCCCGATGCCAAGAACAAGATCGTTATCAAGTCCACAATCGACGGTCTCGACGTTTTCCCAGCGGCCGAAGTGCAGAACGCCGAAAGCCTTGCTCTCAATTTCCCGACTTTCTTAATGCTCAAGGCCAACAACGGCAAGTTTCTATCCGCCTCTTCGGGAGATAAGTCGTTGCGGTGCAACATGGACAGCCGCGAGCTCGAGGGAGCTTTCCAGGCCACGCCACTTGTGGACGGGAACTTTATCTTCCAGAGCGTTACCAGCAAGCTCTTCTGGCGCCGGGACACTGACAACGATGACTGGATCATCGCAGACACAAAGAAAGAAGCCGCTCTCGAGGATCGTTTCTGCCACTTCAACGCATCCAGAGTGAGTAAGAACATGATCACCATCCGCTGCGTCGGATACGACTCGGGCCTCTTTGTCCTTCGTAGCGACAACGAAAACAAGCTCAAGGCCGTCTCCTCGAGCGTCGACAACGCCGCGACACACTTCACCGTCTATGATGGAACCAGCAACAAGCACATCTTCAACGTGAAGTACCTTCTCGGGCTTGCGGAGGTGACCGATATCCGTCCTCTGGTCGTCGGCCAAGGCTCGGTGGTGAACAACGGTGGCCAGAACGCCGACCTCCAGGTTCAAGTCAGCTTCACCGAGTCCGTATCAACGAGCAACCGCTGGATGACGTCCCAGACGGTGGGACTGGAAACCAGCCTGACCGTGAGCGCTGGAATCCCCGAGATCGCCTCCGTAGAAGCCACCGTCACAGTCGGGGTGGAGAAAACCACCGAGACCGAGCTCGGAAAGGAGATGACCAACCTGCTTACATTCCAGTCTGGCTATCTCATCAAAGACGTGCCTCCCGGAGGAGAGGTGAGAAAGTTTTCAAGCCTCAGGCTCATTCAATTTGATTCTTTTCCCTTTTCTTTCTTGCTCCAGGCCAAGGTGGCAGTGGAGTGTACCAGGGGAAAATGCAGAGTTCCCTTCACGTACTCCACCAAAGCTACTCGACTCGACGGCATTGACACGAAAGTGGAGGACGAGATCGGTGGTGTTTACGAAGGTGTGTCCATTTTCAACGTCAGGGGCGTGATCAGTGGCTCGGCTCCTTCCAAACCAGCCGCTGCTTCCAAACCAGCTACTGGTAGTGGTGGTCTTGTGGGTTCTGTTGTTAGCGGAACGGGAACTGTGGTTACTGGAGTTACCAAGGGCACTGAGAAAGTCGTCGGTGGTGTTGTTGGTTCCCTGTTTGGCTGATGAGAGTTCCATCGACAATAAAATTATGGTGAGTTTTATGTAAAGCTAAGCTCCATTGGCAGGAAAGGTGGAGTGCCTTTTGTGATGAAGGATTTTTGTCCGAGCAGTTGTTGAGGATCCACAGACGGTACGAATCGAAAATGGCGTCTCGTCACTCATTTTGTCTGTCACTTATTTTGTTTTGCAGGCAATAGGAGTTTGATGTTGTTCTTTCCAGCGAAAAATCGTACCTTTCGCTGGAAGGAGCAAACAGAGACTTGGGAGCAAGAAGAACTCGGAAATATCCAGAGGACAAGACGAAGATAAGCTCGCATTTCCAGCTTCGTTACGCTGTTTCGTATCAAGCTGATTTTAAGTTCGCTGGAGTGAGTGGACTGTTTGTTTTCTTGATCCCAGGTTGGCGATTCGAGAGTGTCGTGGTTGCCTAGGCGAGGCTCAACACAAACGATGATACAGGAGAAGACTACAAAGAACCGGAGAGTTAAGCTTACAAGATCTTTTCTAGCAACTCTAAAGCTCTTCCCGGAATGGGATCCTCCACTCTCGCGAAACACGAGCGACGGGAAGACCGCGGCAATGGAGCCCAAGACACGCCCACGCCGATCCAAATCTTCCGCCGGCTGCTCATCGAGGACGAGGAATCAGGAGCGCTGGATCGACAATGGGACTTTGGGGAATGGAGCGGAGCTCGGTCGCTGCCGCTGGCACTGTGACTTCGTAAGAATCTGGAGCTGCAGCTGGTGCTTAGGAGCTGGGACTGGAGCTCGGGATGTTTGAGCTGTTGTTACCTGGATCACCGCGCTGTGGATCATCCTCTTGTCCCTTGCTCGAGTGTTGTTTCTCTCGAATCTCGATCCAGAGAAAGACTTTCGGTGTTTGATCGATCAAATCGGTTGGAACATGGTACACAGGGCGCTCCCTGGCGCCCTCACATCCAGCACGTATGGATTCTTGCGGGTGGATTCGCACAAGAAATCTTCGTCCGAGGAAGCAGCGGCTGTGGCGGACGATCCGGTTGAACGAGGCCGAGGATGAAAAAGAATATACTCTTTAAGAATTTACTAAGGGGAATTTGAGAATGGAAATACTGTGATCATTTTGATAGTATGATATCAATATCATTCATTTAAAGCTGACTGTAAGGAACTGCTTTTTTTCTTTTCAGTCCGTCCTTAGAATCGCGCAGGATCAATGTGATGGTTTGTTGTTATCTGAGAATTATTTGCCTTGCTTGTGGCGATCCGTAGCTCCACCTTCTCAATAAGATATGGAGTGTACCACTGGGTTCCTTTCACGTCCTCCACCAAAGCTACTCGACTCGACGGCATTGACACGAAAGTGGAGGACGAGATCGGTGGTGTTTTCGAAGGTGTTGTTGGTTCCCTGTTTGGCTGATGAGAATTTCATCCACAATAAAGCATGGTGAGTTTCAATTGAAAGCTAGGATTTTCGTCCGGGCAGTTGTTGACGCGTCAGACGCTACTGCGATTTGACAGTACGTCTCTCGTAAAAGTCTCCGCATCCTACGTAAGTGCGAAACAAAAGTTGAAGTAACGCGATGCGATTTTGGCTGGAAAGAACAAACGAAGGCCTGGAGCAACAAGAAGTCGACATTGACAAGAAAATAAGCTTGCATTTGTCACGCTGTTTCATATCTAAGTTGGTTTATCCCTGGAATGAGTGGACTGTTTGTTTGTTTCTCCCCAGGTTGGCGATTCCAGAGTTTCGCGACTGCCTAGGCGAGGCTCGATTCGATTCAACCCACTACGAAGAACCGGAGAGTCAAGCTTACATTGTCAGGGCCAAAAGATCTTCCTAGAGCTCTTCCCGGAATGGGATCCGCTTGCTTCCATGCTCCACTTTCTTGACGTTACATCTCCTCCTGCGGTACACGAGCGAGACAAAGACCGCGGCAAAGGAGCCCAAGAACACGCCCACGCCGATCCCAATCTTCCGCCGGCTGCTCATCGAGGGCGAGGAACGATCCGCGCCGAGAGCGCTGGGATCGACAACGGGAGCCTTGGAAGCGGAAGCTTGGCGGCGATGGCGGAGAGCTCGCCGCCGCTGGCACTGTGACTTCATAAGAATCTGGCGCTGGCGCTGGAGCTGGAGCTGGAGCTTGACCTCCAGGAGAAGGAGATGGAGCTCTGGATGCTTGAGCTGTAGTTACCTGGAGTGAAAAGAATGCGATCAGCATTACCGCGCTGTGGATCATCCTCTTGCTCGCGCGTTGTTTCAGAGAAAGATTCCGGGGCTAGATCAAATCGGTTGGATCATCACGTACGGAGGTCTACACACACGAGGCGCCCGCGTAATTGTGGCGCTGACTGACGGCCGCCAGTGCAGGGCAGTGTTATGATTTTTCAAATGGAGAGGAATATACTTTAGGGATTTATATCTTGCCCGTTCATAGAAAAGATTCGAACCCGAGAAGAATCTAGGGCTATTGACTAATTAGTTATGTTTAGGGAAAATAGAATATCCTTAAAGGGTTTAGGGGTTTAGGGCAAGAGAATGGGGAAGAAGAAGCAGCATCACCGCAAGCGCTTGGAGGAGGAGCTCCCTTCTTCCGCATTCGACTGCCACAGCGCATTGGAGGGAGATGCCGATGGCGCCGATGACGGCAATGGCGCGGCGGCCGTGCAGGGGGACGAGGAATGCGACGAGGGGCTCAAGCACGATTTGTACCAGCGCGCTGTTCAAGTAAAGCGTTGGCTCTTTTTCTTGCTTTTGGTTTGAGAAGATTGGACAAACTTGCAGGCTCCGCGGGGAGAGATCAGCTACTTGCAGAAATTCTTTCTCACTTACGTTGGAGGTCGAATTCCACTCCATATGCGCGAGGATTTCTGCGGCACAGCTTTGATCTGGTTTGAGTTTTTTCTTGGGCTTCTCCAGTAACTTTTCATGAGCAGCGCAGAATGGGTGCGAGGCGACGCGCGAAGAACAGCTGTCGGCGTGGATCTGGATGACGATGCTCTCTCTTGGGGGCTCAAGAACAACGTGCTGGGAGGTCGGGGTGACACAGCAGATCGTGTTCATTTGTTCCACCAGAATGTGCTTCATCCGCTAGCAAAGTCGGGTAAGTTTGTGCTCGAGAACAGATCTCCAGCTTCTGTAGAGACAAGGAATGGTGGAGAAGGAGATGAAGATCCAGAAGAAACAAGAGTGGAACAACGCTCCGATATCATCTGTGCATTGAACTTTAGCTGCTGCTGCCTCCAGGAACGTAAGGATCTGGTGTCTTACTTCCGGCAAGCACTGAGCTCCATTAGCAACAAAGGTGGAGTGTTTGTGATGGATCTGTATGGAGGATTGTCGTCCGAGCAGTCGCTAAGGATCCGCAGACGCTACAGCGACTTCACGGTACGAGACTTATTTTTTCTTTAAAGAAACGCAGCGATTCCATTACTTTGTTTGCTTTGTGCCAGTACACTTGGGAGCAAGAAGAGTTCGACATTATCAAGAGGACAACGAGGATAAGCTTGCACTTCCAGCTGGCCAAGTCGCGTAGAGTTCTTCGTCACGCCTTTTCGTACCACTGGCGATTGTAAGTTCGGTCTTAAGTTCGCGATTCAATCAGTGTTTTCTTTTTGTTATATGTGTTCCCAGGTGGACGATTCCAGAGGTTCGTGACTGCCTAGACGAGGCTGGATTCGATTCAACTCACTTGTGGCTGTGCGAGAGGCCCGAGCTGCTCGAGAGAAAGAATGGCCTTGACAACACAAACGATGATAAAGGAGACTACGAAGAACTCGAGAGCTTCAACCAGTGTGACGCCTGGAACGCTTACATTGTCGGGGTCAAGAACCGAAGATCACAAACTCTATGATACTACGAGCTCTGCCCATAACTTCATCACTGTTTCAAACGATTACAAGCTTGGCTTAAAACGTCGCGTGGGATGATCGGATGAATTCCACGACAGCAATCACCGCGTTCTCGGCCGCGAGGTCGCTGAATTGGATCGCCTCGTTGGAGTGATCCGAGCCTCCAGCGAGGTCGGAGATGGAGCGAAAGATGATGAAAGGTTTGCCTTGCGCGTAGCAAGTCTGGAAGAATCAAGATGAGATTTTGGAAACCACAAGGGGAAGATCTTAGAGAACTCTACCAGAGCCACTGCGGCGGACTCCATGTCCACGCTCGAGATTCCAAACTTGTCGTAGAGAAGAGTGCGGTAAGCAGCGTTGTCAAGGAAAACGTTTGCGCTGGATCCGGTGAGACCGAAGAGAACTTTGGGCTCGGAGCTCAAGCACGAACTGGAGTTGAGGCATGCTTTGAGCTCCAAATTCTAGAAAAACCAATGGAAGTTAGAAGAAGATCTAGAGAAGACTTACCATCAGCTCTCTTTGCGCGGTTTCATAGAGTGTTCTTGAGACTGGAACTTTGAATGCGTGTTGTCTAACTTCTGGTGTACCAGTGATGGGAAAAACTTCCTCGGGCTGGAAATAGATGTGTCCCAGCTTGTTGTCGGAATTTTCATTTGAGGGATCATTGTATGATCCAAAGTGGAGATTGCCAAGCAAACGAGTGTAGTCTCCATTTTGCTCCAGAGAGAGTTCGTCATTGGGACCTTGACCATACCGCTGCAAGATGAGAAGATTTCTTGAGATTGAATATCTTATTAAAGTTTCGGATTTGAGACAAACCTGCCAGTACCACAGGCCGGTGTGAATCCACGAAGAAGCGATGCTCACGTCCGCGATGTGAAGCGAAGGATTCGAGCTTCCTGCGATGCCGTAATGAAGGACAACGTCGATCCGGAAATGGTCAAGCAGCTGTTGCGTCGTGGTCCCGGCATTGAGCTGCGAGACATTCGATCAATTCATATGAAAAGCTGTGGAGAAATAACTTCTTGCAAACCATGGAAAGACCAGAGATGACGACAATGGAACGCTTTCCATGGATTGTTCCGATATGAAACCTTCTTCCTGAAAGAGACAAAGAGATTCCAAGCTCGAGAAATCTCAAAGTGTGATGAAACAACCTCCAATATCGATGAAGGGAATCGTGGCATCAGCAACAAATCTTCCTTGTTCGAGCAGAGGTGTAAACTCGTACATGTTTGGAACGACAATTCCAACATGAGCTCCACGGCGACTGACAGACTCAATCGCAGCGCTATCGCCATAGAATCCACTCACTCTCGAGCTCCACAAGATCTCCAGTGCCAAAGCTACGAAGAACACTACTAGCCATGAAGTTCTCATCTTCTTAGTTGCTCGTATGGTGAGATGATACAGTCTATACGTTGTTATATTGCGCGTACATGCCCGTGTGCATGTGAAACGTGGGTATAGGACGGGCAGAAAAGCCTGTTGTTTTTCGTAAAAGTAAAAGCGCTCGATGGGGGCCGGGGGCAGTTTTCATAGAAACTGGAGCTAAACTAAACCATTAAACTACTCAAAGTCCCTGTTCTTCAAGGACATTAAAACACCAGGAAAAGAACGAAAAAGAGATCCTCTTGAACACTTCAAAGTAGTGTTCTATTTTGAAGAAGTCTTGCTTGAGTGAACTAAACGATCATGCCAAGTTGCTTATATGCAAGGGAGATAGTTGACGTGAGGGAGAGCAGAACCAATTGTGCCTCCTGAATAAAACTCCTCCTGATTTGCGGCGTGGAGGAGGCCCGCGTGGCGAAAAGGAATTGATGATGTGGTGAGACAGCATGGCTGAGCCAAAGAAATTTCCAAGTATGAAAACGTGTTCCTTGGGAGCTCTGGGAACCTTCAAAGAGATAACAATTTTCCCTCCCTTGGGTATCGATCTTGCTCGATGGTGTTTGAGCAAAGACCTGGCTGCGTTCTTGGCTAAACTGTGGAAATGTGAGGATGATTTAAGGGATCATCCATGGTTTTCAGCGCCGTGGGGCGGCCGGGGAGTGATAGAGCAAGCCCTGGCAATGGCGAACTAGATCGCTGTTCGGGATAGGATTGGGAAGTGGCTGTGGTAGGGAAATTGGAAGCGGTGCGGCAGTGGCAATGGTGGCGGCAGTGGGTGGGATGACAAGGCAAAGATCTCCATCCTTGAGCTACCAGGAGATGATCCGGCTGCACGGTAAGGTGTGCTCAAGCTGGTAGCGAGGCTGAAGGAGATGGAGCATTATTTCGCCACCCCCAGCAACAGTGCGCCCGAGTCACAAGAACGACAATGCGCGGGAACCATATTGACTGATAGGGTGTTCTATATTGCATATTAAGAAGCAGTTTCACCATCATGACATTCCTACTGCATGGACGTGGAGGGACTGCAGGCATGGAATTATCTTGCTCTTGAGCTCAATAAGCACAATTCCTTTTGTTTGCTTGCAACTCAACTCAACTCTTGCAACAGTCTGTGATGGAAATGTTCTAGTGAACAGTTGTCGAATATCTCAAGGCTCTAGTTAGAACCAGCTTTCTAACAAAGGGACTAACAGGTTATCTGTTTCTATTGTAAGAACAATTGGTGTGTATTGAGGATTTTCAAATGGCAAAGAATCAAATTGTTTTCAAAATGGAGAAACTTTTTTATTTTAAAAGTGTGGAATTTTTATGGATAAACATCAAACGTTATGTCACTTAATTGGTCTATAACAAGCAGCAGTTCCAAATATTATGATAGCTATAAAATATAAATTTCTCCTCGAAATGAATTCTTGAAAAGTATAATAATATAATAGCTTGAACTTTTAATCTTTAAAATAATTTCGGAGTTCTATAAACTAAATTTATTTATTATAAATTCCAATAAAACTTCATATTCATACAATTTTTATTTCATGTCAAGATATATTCAATGAAAATAAAATCTATCACTATTAGATTCAAATAACTTGTTTTATTTAATTAAGATAACCTCATCTGATTTATAATAATTGACCAGTTTATTATAACTCTTTATTTATAGTGACTTAGATCCAAAATCAGGAGGTAAATCTCTAGTTTCACAAAGAGTAGGAGCTTACTTGTTCTTGAGTCCCTACTCTTTCTTGTTTCTGTGAGAATAGAAAAAGAAAGAATCACAAATTTTTTATAAAAGTAATCTTATGAGTCATGAAAAACAATGTGAAAGACTTGCCTTGATTTCTCATATTGGGATCACCATGCCCGAACTCTAGCAGCTTCATCCTGAAAAAAGAAGGCATCACAAACTTCTGAGTTAAGTCTGCTAATTCTACAAATCCATCACACATGATGTAAATAAACTTTTGTATCTTTTAGAGTGCTCACAGCTCATGAAAACTAACATATTCTCTTATAGCTCATATGTTTATGTGTGTTTTAGATGGTACACTTTTTATCCCAATAAAACATTTTTGAAGACTTACTTTTATTTAGTCCAGCTTCCTTCCTAGTAACTTAGTTATCTCTTCAAAGTTGACGCACATTCAGATACCAGGAGCGTTCTCTCCTTTCTATTCAAACTCTCTTCTACTATCGAGTCGAGATCTAATCAATCTCTCTTCCAGAATCCACTGCGTTGCGAGTAGAGCTTGAACAGTCCTCGCCACAGCCGAAACACCCAAATCATACTGCCCACCACCGCAAAGCTCACCTCAAACACCCAGAACCAAGCCAGCCATCGAGGGATCACAGTGTCGGCACAACCCCAGAGATAGAAACTCGCCAGCTTTCCCAGCAAGAACGGCCCCAGCATCCCTCGAACGATCGTGAAGAGCAGCGTGAACGTCGGAGACAATGCCGTGTAGACCCTCTCCGCGACTGGGAACTCGTCCTTGGCCAGCCTCGCCAGCATCCAGATCGCCTGGAGTGGAGTGGTGGCCTCCCCCGCCGCGATCAAGCTCATCACCGACTTGGCGCCATGGAGAGTGTAGTAGCGGCAAGAGATCATGTACGTGAGCGTCGCGAAGTGGTGAGCGATGAAGAGATGATCCTCGGGAACCGCGAGGAAGTAGTGAAAGAGGTCGACGATGAAGTAGGCCATGCTCCACTCCATGATCCTGTTCTGGAATGCCGTGTTTGGGGCGTCGAGCGTCCAGGGCGACGATACCATGTCCGCCATTGCCAGGGAAGCTCCGACCAGCGCATGGGCGAAGGAGATTGAGCTGCTCGCCGCACGGCATCGCTTGTGCTTGCTCCAGCTCCGGAAGATGAAGAACCAGGCCGTGGCATAGAGCGTGGCGAAGAAGAGCAGGGAGATGATCAACACTCCGCCTTTTCTGGCTTCGATCTCTCGCTGCTGCTTTGCGCCGCGGGAGAGGGATTTGAGATGCTCCATTGCAGCCTCGAGCTCCATTTTCTTTTCTACAGTTGCTAGAATGAAGTGTGCCCTTTCAGCTGAATCGGATGCGGTTGACCGTTAAGGGCACACGTGGACAGTCAGCTGAAAGTTCAAGAACTAAAGTTTTGAGATACAGAGATAGTTGCGAAACCAGCGCATGGCGGCTTCCATCATCGACTCCGTGATCTCGTGTCCCACATTCTCCTCCGCCACGAACTGCAAGCTCAATGCTCTCGTTTTATCAGTTTGATCTTGGAGAAGAATTTTCAATCAAAACCTGAAACTTTTCGGGATGCCCAGCTGCTTTGTAAATCTCGGATGTTTCACGGATGCAAGATTCCAGCCCCTCGACAGGACACCTTGGGTCATTCTTTCCTGAGATGAAAACAAATTCTCTCTTCATGGATTTCTTGAGAAACTTGTGAGTGCGTACCATTGAGAATGAGCAAGGGGCGAGGAAACACCGCTTTGAGAATGTGGTGGACATCAAACTCGTGCATCAGGCCGGGAGCTATTCGTTGCCAAACCTGTTCTACGTGATCAAATGAGTTTTCCTTGAAGAAAAAAAGAGGGGAAAGCACTTACAGCTGCGACAGTCTCTGAATCACAGCAAGCTTTGCCGAGGTCCCCAGCAGCAACTGGAAAAAGGTAAGAAGGAATTAAACCTTTGTGAATAACCAGCAAAGTTTTTTTCGTTTTTCTTTTCTGCTGTGAAGCTACTCGAATACCTTCAAAGGCGTGCGGGATGCTGCCAACTCTTGCTTGCCACTTATTGTTTTTTACTGCCCAGCTAAAGTTCTGGCACAACACAAAAGCATGTCACGAGATAAGGTAATCAAATCGAAAGAGAGAAGAACACAAAAACTAGAAACACAAAGATTTCGGGAACCTGAACACCAATCATAGGAACGGCTGCAGCAATTCGAGCGTCAGCAGCCATTGAGTACAGAGTGATCATTCCTGTGAAAGTGATCAGACAAAACCCATGAGAATTAAAACTTGGAAGCTGGTTTCCAAAAGATTGTATAAATACCACCGAGCGAAATCCCCGTCATTCCTATGCGAGTGGAATCGATGTCCTTTCTTTGGATGAGGTAGTCCATCAGCTTGGTCACGTCCCAGACCTGTGTGATCGATCAAGAAAACTATGTTCATAGCGAAGTCAATCTTACATACCGTATCGAAGATGAAAGGCATCTCTCGGCCTGTCTTCCACGCGGAAATCATAGCCTGCGATGGATATGATCGAAGAAGAAACGAGAAAGATATGAAACTTGCTTAGAAACTATGGAGAAACAAACTTACATTTTGATAAGATGATGATGCTCGCTCTCCGTGGTACCGATTATCGATGGTGATGGCAGTAAAACCATGGGAAGCAAAATACTGGCCAAAAAAATCTCTCGAGAAGCAAAGAAAAATAGCACATACCTCCACCACATTTCTTATGGAATCCTTGCAACTGTATGAGCTGTGGAGTATGACAAGAGCAGGACTTGGCGTTGCTCCATTTTTCCTTCTGATGATCAAGACTGGAAGCTGGCCTTGATCTCCACCCTTCACCAAAATTCCTATCGATGAATCGGGGTGGAAGAAAAATCGTGTACAATGCCTTACCTCTGTCACAAGAACAAGGCGCTCCTCTTCCAGTTGGTCGAGTTCTTCCCGAGATAATCGTAGCTATCAAAGATACGAAGCTCATGTGAGAAAGATCCAACGAGAAGAGATCTCTACCATAGGAATATCGAATTGCTGGACAGTTTCCTGTGAAACAATCTTGCATGATCTAGCCACCAGCGGCCCTGGAGAAAAGAGAGGTACTATCAAAGACCCAAAGAGGAGATTCTTGGAAAAACCTGAATCCTTGTGCCTGCTCGCCAAGAGATTGACAAAATCCTTTCGAGTTTTCTCGGCGGCATCGTGATCGATCCAGAGAGATCCCATTTCTCGAAAAACACAAAACCATCACGGCCTAACACCACTCCTTTGTCATGTCTTGGACTGGGTATCTTACGTGTCTTGTTCTTCTTGCACGATTCAATTGTATAGAAGATCATACATTAAACTAGTAAGCTATTTTTTTGTTCTCGCTGATGCTCCTCTAGCAGTCTAGAAGCCAACATCTGTATTTTCAATTGCCAGTTCAGCTTCTAGAGTGCTAGAGGGGAACCCAGACGTATCAAAACCAAAACGAAGCGAGAGCTTTTGGAATGGAGTGGAAGAAGGAAAAAAGAGAGGAGGATGGTCACCTATCACTGTTATTGTGGAGGTCGTATGATCATGTTCACTGCGTCCTGTAAGTTCTTTTCCCAATCGAGTTTGTTCTTACGCATCCTGGAAAAGAGAGAAGAAACAAAGATCTAAAAACCAAAAGAGCCAAAAAGCCGAAAGAAATATCTTACCTTTCGTCGTTGGCCCTGTTCTCTCTTCTCGGCGTGGATCGAATCCCCTCCCACCAGACTTTATCCTTCTCCTCGTTGGCTTTGGCCTCCAGGACGAGCTTCGAGATGATATGGTTGCCAACCGACGGGATGGAGTTGTCGTCGCCGCATTTCCCAGCGGCCGGAGATCCTCTCGCTTGCTGATCCACAACACAGTCGAAAGTCTTGGCCTTGCAATCAACCTCGTAGAGCGACTCGAGGCTGATCCTGGATGCGTTGGATGGTCTCGCGTCCACCTCCTTAACTTTCTCGGGCCTCGTAAACAAGTCGTAAGAATCAAAGTAGTCACTGGAAGAAACCAAAAGCGATTAGACCATCTCAAGTTACAAAGAGCACCAGTCACAACTTACCTGTTAGAAAAAGAATGCCGAGGTCTATACCGAGTAAGCGTGCTGTAGCGCTGGCTCTGGAAATCTTGATACTTGCTTGTCGGTGTGCCGGGAAGAAGAGAGTGTTGCTTGGAGTCATAGCTGTGCCGACCGTCCGACACTATCTTTGTTCCCCTGTCCAAAAGTGGAGACAAGCGTCCTCCATTCTTCTTCCAGACTTTACAGCTTTGCTTCCAGCTCCCATTCTCCTTGGAAACAGCAGCTAAATCCTGCTTCTGCCCGGTAAACCCATTTTGCTGAGCTCTGGTCCCAATGTCGGCACAGGGGAGCATTTGCCTGAATATAAGCGACGATCCACCGACCTTTTTTGTTCTTCCACTGTCGTCCTTAAAGCCCGACTCAATCCCTCCAAAAACAGTGATTGCTTTTCGTTGAGGGGTCTTGTCGGCACAGCTCGCAGGAGGTACTTCCTTACTTGAAACAAGCGGTGGTGGATTTGGAAGAGGTTTCTCTCCTCGGCATTGGCAGCATTCGTGCTTTGGAGCTCGGACTGGGAGTTCTTCGTCATCTGTTTGAGTTGTAATACTGTTACCATGATCCAAATTTGACCTCTGCTTGCACAGCTTGAGCTCGTTGCTGTTCCTGGCACTGGTGTCGGCTGTAGGATGATTTGTGGTCTGGATAACACATTCTTCCAAAGGAAAGGCTCGATGAACAGGAGACTTGGCGAGACAGGCGTGTTCTTTGAGCATTAGTTTGCACTGAATCTCGCTATCAGAGTCATGTGGACAATGCTCGCATTCTGCATTGAAAAATCGGGTCATAAAAAATCAAGAAGAGAAGAGACTATGAAAGTCTATTCTTTTTTCTATTTACCTCCATCAACAATCTCAGATCCTTTCAAAATGTAGTCGGCATCGTTCATAGGAAGAACCACATCATTATCGGAGACATCGTGCCAGATGAAGTCATTCTTGTACTTCCTGTTGTTTGACAAAGAACAAAAAAGAAAAGAAATGAAACACGAGCGCGAGCATTAGAAAAATGCAAGAACAGGAACTCCGAGAATAAGACCCGTACGTTTTGTAGGACCAAGAGAACAAATCCGGCATGCCCCTACCGCGGATAGCAACAAGACTTCGCTTCACATCTGAAGAGAAAAGATAGAAACACATTCAGTTCAGACCACGCAGAGCATCTTGAATGGTAAAGAAAGCACTTACCGCTGAGAAGCAGCTCATTCTCTTGCGTGAATCCAACATCTATCAAGTGTGGCTGCTCCAAAGACCCCTTCCTGCACAGATAGTATATCACCTGTGCTTGCTTGGAGTTGCTCATCCTTGAAAGGAGGAGGAAGAGCCTCACAACATTGAACGATGGAAGTCGCTGCTTGAAACCAAGTCCTTCTCCTCTCAGCCTTAAGAAGAATTGACACGAGCAGCCATTCCTGATGGGGATGCTTGAACCTTGATACCTCAAACAACAGTGAGGACTCCGGTATGCACAGCTCGCTGTGAAGTGACACGGCAGCTAACCATGACGCCGAGCTCAAAAGCTCGAGCGATCATTGATGATATTTCCCTCCTCCCATTCGCAAAGTTGCATGGTTTGTAAGTCAGCCACTGTAAAGGGCGCGCATTGGATATATAAGAGACAAACTTGCAGCGTCCCGTCTCACTGTCTACTTGGAGGCTCACGCGTAGCCATCTGGAATCTGCAAAAGGCTCCATTGTAATCAATTCCACCAAGTTAACCAAATCATGCTTCGCTACTTCGTGCTCATGGATCTGGGTTAATATGATTCGAGAGGGTGGCGTCTCTGGCACTTGGCAATGAGCTTTAAAGCAAGAATCCACCGATTCACAGTTCATGCCAGCGGCCAGCCAGGAACAAGAAAGAAAAAAAAAGAAGAAACAAAGCAAAGAAAGTCGACTCAAAACCTTTGGGATAACTTGTGCCAGAGGCCGCAGAGGGAAGATATTTGCGAAACAAAAGAGACTAGCTACAAAGTAAAAAGAGAAATGTTGGCATATGTGCTTAAGAACGCGCCTAATAAAAAGAGGAAGAAAAAAAAGAAAGAAAAAAAAAGGACGAGGATGGATGGATGGATGAATCGAGCAAGTGGTAGAAGACGAAGCATGCGCGTTCATTCTCTCTTTTTTATTTCCCTCTGTCAGCTGTGCCCTACAATCTTGATCTGACCTCCATCAACATGAAAAGAAAGCAAAAAAATAAAATAAAAATGGAAGCGAAAGAAACAAAGCTCGATGCGCAGAGCACTAACTGGCGTGATTGCGATGGAAATGTGCGAGAGCGAGAGAGAAAATAGGATTGTGGAGCGACTCACATCTCTTTTGCGCCATCCATCGCTCTGTCGCGCCCATCCCGCCCCTATTACAAACGAAGAACCCTAATTCTCAGTAAACGGAGAACCCTATCTAGCCATTCGAATCGTTGCTTGGAAATATCTTACAAACAAAGTCTTGGAAGCGCTGTGAGTAACTAGCGGGCTCGATCGCTGATATCGACACTGGATCAAACTGGAGCGATTTGTACGCGTGCTCGATCCTCTTGCCCACGTCGTATTCCTGGAGGATGTCAATCACGCCCAGGTAGAGAACCACGTCGTGCACCTCGTCCAGCGATTCTTCCTCGTCGTTGTTCTCCTCCTTTTTTCGAGGCTTTCGATCGGCTCGAGCGGGCATGTTTACTCCCAGCTGGATTTGCAGCCTGTGAGGAATCAACTCCATGGTTGTCAAGATCAAAATCCAAACTTGCAGGGATACTCTTACCGAGCAGTTCCTGGCAGAAGCAAATCAACCTCTGCATTGTCATCGGCTTCGGCGATTCCAGCGGCTGTAAGAGGCTTTCCTCGTATGTGGGAGCTCATGGTTCTCTTTCCTTGATCCCGTGGAACAAGTACTAGACTCCTAGCAGGCGTCCACTCCTCCTCTGGAAAACAAGGCTTAGACTATCGTAAAGCAAGCTTTGCTCTTACCACCATCGGGAATGGTTCCTTTGGAAGGTTGATAAAAGTGTGGCGCTCGAAAGTGAAGCCCCAACAGGAGGCTGTAATCCATTATATGTTGAGACTCGAGGAACTTGCAATCAGAGGCTATCTGCCTTCATCAGTTTAAGGAAAATGTCAGAACGAACTCCCATAAAGAATGAGAAGGAAACTTACTTTATCAAAGCGTCGCGCCAACTTGGTTCCAGATGGAAGACGTAGTCCAAATCCAAGTCTTTCAACGTGGTGTTCTCATCGATGTCGGCCTCGCCAGTGCAACGTCCTTGAAGCGATCCTTTCAAATCATATCGGCGGTGTATCCTCAAGTCCGTGCAAAACATGTTTCCCATGACTACGAACCGGACCTGTAACAAATACGTTGAAATTGCTCCATGTCAAATCACTTTCTGACAACTACCTTCTGCCCACCCTGAGGCTTCACACGATGCAGGCCGAAAAACTTTGTAATCAATGTATTGTCGTACGAGCTTACGTGATTGTAATAGCTTCGAAGCATTCTCAGCAACACCTGTCGAAGACATGAAAAACTGATAAAAGGCAGCCAGCTAGCTACGTATGTACCTTCACTTCTGACTTGCGCATAGTCTTGATCATAAAACGATCGTCGTTGGACAAAAAGAACACGCTGCCACTCTTTCCCGGGGATGGAAGCTCTCTTAGTGCAGAATTACCGCAAATAGAGAGCATGTAGTCGGCTGCATCGATCTTAAACATTTCCCGCAATCGTCTGCAAAATTTAGAAACAGAGCAGGCTAGATCAAACATCAGCAATGCATCTGCTTACTTGAAAACTCTTGGACAGTAGTCCTTCCACGCGAAATCGACCGTTCTATGACAAGGAGTTACTTGTGATCCCATCTTTGGAAACTTCATTCTCACGGAAGCCTTTGAGCCAAAATCCAGAGGACCGATGTTGTTACATGGCTCTGGAGTTACCTTTCCAACCGTGTACCTGACAAGCAAAACTAAAACTTAAGATCGTATGAACAAGCACAGAAAATCCAGCCGCATTACCTGATGCCTATTTGCAAAGTAAGCATGAGATCATAACTTCTGTGTCCTTTGAAGATCGTTTCACCCGGTCTTTTCGGCTCCCTTGGTTGGCGTCGGCGTTTTCTCCTGGAGCTCTTTGACAACACACTTCCTATCGGCTGCTTCACAATCTCATTGATAAGAACACCTTGCGCGTACTCCCTCTCCAGAATGGGAGCAACTTCCGGAACGTCATCTTTCTCTTCCTCTAAGATCGCTTCCCCGCCTATGAAGAACGACTCGAGGCCCAGCACCCTTTCCAAAGGCCCTTCTAAACTCCACCGTCTGCCCAGCCACACATTCTTCTTGATCTGCTGATCCAGATTTCCCGAGCCACTGCTCGTAATGAACCTCGAATCCAGCTCCCTCCTCCCATTCTTCCACGATCCCACCGACGTCCAGTCCTTGGCAATCCCGGTTGCGAGATACTCCTCCACTTTGTTGAGCATGAGGTTCTCTCGCGTGCTCATGTCCAACGGCAGCGTCCCAGCGGGATAGAAAACTCCCTTGCCGTCTTTCAGTCCCCGGCTCCAGGTTCCCACGAAAATACTTCCATCCGCCCAGTAGTAAACTCCACGGCCATGCTCCATCCCATTCAGCCACTCCCCATTGAAGGCATCGCCCATCCCCCACCTTAGAACTCCCTTTCCGGTCATCACACCAGCCTTCCAGTCCCCAACGTAGACGTTCTTGTTCGTCCACACGTACTTCCCGAAACCATCTTGCAAGCCGTGCTTCCAGGCGCCCTCATACTTGTCACCGTTGGCATAGCGGAGCCGTCCGAGACCGTGCTTCAAGTTCATGCTCCAGTTCCCCTTGTAGACGGCACCATTGGGAGCACGAAAGTTCCCGAGTCCTTGCATGAATCCCCCGGCAAACTCCCCCTCGTAGAACGCCCCGGACGGCCACACGAACTTCCCACGACCCGACTTCTTCCCTTTCTCCCACTGCCCCTCGTACCAGGAGCCGTTCGCCCATACGTACTTCCCTCTCCCCTCTGGAAGGTTTCCTACCAGAGCCCCTACATAGCGATCCCCGTTTGGAAGAGCTTTCTCGTCGCTAGTGCCGTCCAGGAGAAGCTCTGGCCTGTCACCGTTTCCCACATTCGCCGCATTGCCACTGTCATCTTCGTCATCAGCCGGCATGACGGATCCCCCCGCCGATCCCTTCAAGAAGCTGAAATCTTGCCTCTTCTTCGATCTACGTTCCAGCAAATCCGTCGACGAGGAGAGAAACATTGTTTTTCGGCGCAACGCCCGCTCACGTAGGACTAGGACTAGGACTGCTCATCTGCGCCAACACCACACACATCGATATTTCGATCAGTACGAAAGCTACGAGCGATGGACGCAAGCAAACAAGCCGCAATTCGGGGCAAATCCCAGACACGCAATGGAAACGACGAAAGCCTGCTGTCGAAGGGAAGATTATCTCTCTCTCACCAGCATCAGCCTGACCGCGATCTCCACTGCTCCATCGCCAGGCGCCTCCTGGCTCGCCCCCATTCGCGTGCTCGAATCCCAAAACCCTAGAGTGGACCTCGCCCAAGCCTCAAAATCTATGCTCTGGAGCATCAAATCTCTTTCTTTTAATCCTCTTAACGGCAGAGAGGGCTCGAATCTAATCCTGCGGCCCACAGCCCGCCACGTCACTTGCCCGGATTATTCGCCGGACGAGGTCCTGGCTACCGGACCGCTGCATGACATGTCGGCGCTTGCTGGCCCACTGCCGGCCGTCCAAGGGACTACGTGGAGCCATGTGGTTGGCCCATGTGAGCACACCCTTGCTGGGCTGACGCGTGGCACAGTCGCCAATAGTGGGCGATCAGCAAATGGAGATGGAGACCCTCCCCTCTTTCTTCCACTTTGTAGCCACGTTAATTTTTTTTTCCTCTTGGCCTTTCGAGCGCTGTGTGCTTGCAAATCGCTGTGGCTATGGCGCAAAGCTACAAAAATGTTCTAAAGTTTAGTGGTCAGCAAGATGATGTGATGGAAGATTATTCCCGACTTACTTTGACAAAGAGAGGTCGTTTGATCTCCTTTTCAGCGAAGAGGAGAGCTCCAAACAACAGTTTTCTCTCCTCTTTGTCTTCCCTTTGTCACGGGTTTGACGCTTTTGAGCGCGTGATTGTTGCACAGCGAACTCTGATGATTCCTGATGGAATCGAAAGCCGGCGGGGGAGCAGAAAGATCCTGGAACTTGAGAGCGAAGTTAAGAATCTTAAAGTCTTCGCTGCTATCAAATCAAGCTTTGCTCACCAAAGTTCGAGAGTGTTCCGTTGACAAGAAGCAGAAGTTTTGTGGAACTCTACTTACGGCTTGTGATGAGCTAGCTAGCTAGCTCTCTGGTCCTGGCAATAGCAGCAGTGGCTCCCCGTCGGTGTCTTGGAGCTCTTCTAGATCCTCGACACACTCCTCGAAAAGTTCCAGCTTCGTGCTAAGCTTCTTGAGCACCGCAATGTAGATTGGACCCCATCCTTGAGAAACGTCAGGGAGAATGATCCAGCCGTGCTCCGTCCTTTCTCCCACCGGCCACTGCTTTTGGATGATCTCGAAGTCAAGCTTGCCTTTCTCTAGTGCCTGTCAAGCCAAAGGTTAAAGCTGGAACAACGAGAAAAAAGTATAAACAATGGCCTCAGTGCTCACCTTTGAGATCACACAGTCATTCTCTAGCTGACTTAGGGAGCACGTCGAGTAGACAATCCTACCATAGAGCTTGGCAGCTCGTAGAGCCGCAAACAAGAGCGCGAGCTGCCGCTTTGCGCAATTCTCCGTGCGTCGGGGCGTCCATGTCCCGAGCTCCTTTGGGTCGTGTAGCAAGTGTCGCTCGGAGGAACAAGGTGCGTCCACCAGCACCTACAAACAAATACCCCGTGAACACGTTGATCATATTCCCAGCTAGCGTGAGAAAACGGTGCACCTTGTCATAGAGATCATGCTCCATCCATTTGATACCATTGCGACGGGTGACGCGAATGGAAGTCCGTAGATTTGCCGGCACGTACTCGGAGATGACCTGCAAAGCTGAAACTTTGATCAGTTCAAAGCAAACAAAGTGGAAGAACAAAAACAAAAACATGCAGTGTGTACCTTCGACAGTCGCTTGCTCCTTGTTGGCGATGGCTCGTTTGCTACCAGCGAGCCTTGGAGGAGATCCAGCTGCTGCAGAATTCCCAGAGTTTTTCCTCCGGGAGCAGCACACAAATCCAAGACTTTGTCGCCCACCTCGAGATCCAGAGCCTCGGTGACGAGCACAGACGCGGCATCCATGAGGTAGTAGTCGAAGACGTTGTGGGTGTCACGCTCGGGATGAGGGAAGAGCGCGCTGGATTCGTAGACCGGAAGCCTGAGGAATGGAACTCGAGTGGAATTTGGCGATGGAGGAACGCTGGACTCGTTGCAGTACTTGTTGACGAGGCATGCAACACGGGGCTTTGACAGGAGGCACGCCATCAGAGAGCTCCACCGCGCGCTTCCATACTGTTCTTCGTAGAAGGCCGAGAAAGAGTGGAAAACGTTGGACTTTCTCTCCTTCTCGAGCTCTTGCTTGAGCAGCTTCTTCATCTTGGATTTGGAGAGAGACTTCTTCCCGGATTGCTTCCTTGGATTCCTGCGCCCCGGAGGTGGAAAATCTAGCTCCGGCATTTCCAGGGATTCATCGTCCACATCGACCTCCATTGCCAGTTCCTCGTCGGAGCCCCAGGAATGTGTCTTTCTAATGCCGCGCAAGCGGCCGAGAAAGGAGCCAGCGCCTGTGAATCGAGAGACTCGCAAGCTAGAGACAGGAGATATCATCCACTCTCACCTCGATCGCATCCCCTCCAAGAATTAGGGCTAGGGTTTTGTTAGGGTTCTTGAGAGCGCGATGAGGAAGCTCAAATTTCACGAGCAGCGGCTGCTCAAGAAGGTGAATTTCTTGGAATGGAAGCGCGAGAGGAACTCGCGGGAGGTCCAGGTGATGCAGCGCTACCGAGTCACCGGCCGCGACGATTACAAGCAGTGAGTAACACCATAGTTTTCTCGCGAGCGCTGATTCGATTTCCCTGGTTTTCCAGCTATAACAGGATCTGTGGAATGGTTTCCAAGCTCACCAGCATTCTCAAGAAGCTCGATCCCAAAGATCCATTCCGGATACAAATGACCGATCAGCTGCTAGACAAATTGTAAGGAAATTTCTCTTTCTTTTTTTCTCGCTGCTTAGAGTAGAGCTCTTCCAGGTATAACATGGGAATCATCCCGACCAAAAAGAGCTTGGCTCAGTGCGAGAGTCTCGCTGCTTCAGCGATTTGCAGGTAAAAAATCCATCTTCCATCCGGACTGAGATAGAACTTTTTGATCCTCTCGTTTTCTCTCAGGAGGAGATTGGCAGTGGTGCTAATGAAGCTCCACTTTGCCGAGAATCTCAAGGACGCTGTGACGTTCGTGGAGCAAGGGCGTATCCTTTTCTTCTTTACGAGCAAAATCAAACTTTTTTTTCCCTTGACAGTGATGATCTCACAGACATTAGAGTAGGACCAGACACAATCACAGATCCAGCGTTCCTGGTGACGAGAAACATGGAAGACTTTGTGACATGGGTTGACACTTCCAAGATCAAGAGGAAGGTGCTCCAGTACAACGATCGCCTGGATGACTACGACCTCTTGAGCTAGATCTTCTTTCTTTCTCTACTGCCAAGTCGAAAGAGTATACGGTTGTCAAGCTTTCGCCACCGTTTCCAATGGTGAAGCTATGGAATTCTCGAGAGATCACACCAACTAATAGAAGAGGCTATGGTAAAGACTCGTGAGCCGTTGAGTAAGCTGGTAAAAGAGAAACAAATCCATTTCAGAGCGCTAAAAGCGATATGAAAGAAGCGTTGTAGCTTGAGAGAAGAATCTTTACGACGATTTTCCAGTGCTTGCGAACCAAAGTCGATAGTTATTGTACTTGCTTATCAATCAACATGGCTGTAAGCGCAAATGCAAAATCTGAGTACAGGCGGTAGTAAACGAATGCTCCCAACTAATACTCCGGGCAAAGAAATACTATAGAAATAAAAATGTTATTGTAGCCATACCTCGGTAGATGTAATTTACCAATCGTATATGTGGAAGCCTTGGATAAGTCTGCTTGACAGACTTTGTGATTATTGTGCAGTGTTTCTGGAACCACTAACACACATCACCTTGATACTTGTTCCTGGAAAGAAGAAACCGTTTGGTATAGGTACGAGAAAACCCCAAAAACGTACTCGCTAGATCGTCTCTAGTGTTGCGCCAGAGATTGGACAGCCGGCAGGTTGAGCACTCGAAGGGAGCTCATCGATCGCGGAGCTGTAATAGCATCGTCATTGATAAGTTTGCATTTATCCAGATGAAGATCTTTCAAGTTGCAGCAGAGGAAAGCAATAAACCTGTCTTAGTTGCTTTATAGATTATGCAATTACTTTGCTTGTACCAGGCGTGAATCGCCCAGCCGATGAGAGATCTGATCACAGGTTCTAGTGTGACAACCATAGAAATGATCAAAGACCCCTTGTACTTGACAACTTGGAGCCCAAAAATCTGCAAGTAACTCCTTTGTCAATTTTAAGCAACTATATCCTTTAACCTCGCTTTGTCCATGCAAAAGGTCCACCAATCTTCCAGGATCTGGAATGGTAGTTCTCCATAAAGTCACAAGCGACCCAGAATGAGAGCTCCTCCAGCCGTTACTGGGAAGGCATAGAGATAACAAACAATACCCACATAAACAATGAAATCCAACATTTCATCCAAGTTTGCAAAGAAAAAGAGAACGATAAGTCTAGAGCTTCACTTATCAGATTGTTCCCAGCAAACATGTAGCCCATAAACGCAACAGCCGCCAGGAAAGCCATCAAATCCCCCAGGAAAGTGATGCCTTTATCACCATCGAACTTGCTAGCAAATGCGATGCTCAGCGAAACCCAAGATCACCCTGACGTTCTCTCCTTTGCTCAGGGGCTTGCAGCGCAGCCATAGAACTGGCCAGAGGCATCGAAACAAAGAGGAGGCTATGCGGTGATCCAGTGACCATATCTGGATATTGAATTGCAACCCTCTCGATCTAAGCAAAACAATTCTATATCCATAGGCCGAAGCGCAAGGCTATTGCAATCCCCTGACTTGCAATCTCCATGCTGCATTGGAGATTGGGGTGGCGCGCTTCATCAGTTTGGTTGATCAACAGAAGAGTTTTCAGTGAATCGATTGATTTGAAAACTCACTGCGCCGGCCACAACCGCATCATGGAGTCCGGCTTTCATGTAAACCCTAATTTCAGCTATGACGAGAAGATTCTCTTCGCGCCTTCCTGGTGGCTCGTATACTTTTCGAGATTACTTTGGAATTCCTAGACGTAGATTGAAGAAATATCGGTTTGGTCGAGCTATCTATCCTTGACACGGCTAAGTTGTGATGCTTCCATCCAGCCTACAAAGAAACTACACGTAGTATGGAGGTCCTGAAGTTAAAATCTAATAACGCTTGGTAGATTGATTTTAAATTGGACTGGAGTGAAGTTGTCAAGTTGTGTTGCAGGCAGCAACATTTGAAAAAAATGTTCTGTTTTATTGAAGATTGTCTTTGAAAATGAAAAGTTTTATATTTCTTTTTTACAATGATTCCAAAAACAAGAGTAAGTTTCATAGATGAATAGAGAGGTTTTAGGGAAAGTGCAGTGGCTTCTAGATAAGAATGGGCTAGGTCTTTCACAAATATACTTAAAGAGCAAGAGAGGGGAGCAAGAGATAGAAGTTCACAATATCTTTATAAATTTTTTATGTTTTGCGTACATTTTAAGGATTTGTCATGACACCTGTGATCCAACTTATCCATTCAAAGGTGTAAGAGAGTTAGTTGATCATAATGTTTTATCTCTCTATAAAACCATTGAAAAAGTGACAATAATCCACAAAAAGTTTTTGAAGGAATCTTCCAGATGTTGATTTACAAAGTAAGACCACAGTAGAAGATATGAAGAATGGGGATTTTTGTAGGTAATTATATATGATCTTTATAAGTAAATGTTAATCATGAACCTGTTTATTTTATAGCTGGTTAATCCAGTTTTCCCCTCTTAACAGATGGCCAATTTGCCAACCATGTCAAACTGACGGATTTGGATCCAATCTTCAAGCAGCTTAACGAGAAAAATGTTGTG